GAGCTAGGTGGGGGCGGGGTGCGTGTGCGTGTGCATGCGTGCTGTTTGGAGGGCTTGACTTGTGCAGCGTGAGCAATGGTGTCGGGCATTGTTGCAGCCGTGCGGCTGCTCCGCGCTTCCGCCGTGAGTGAAGCGACGTGAACAGGTCACATGGCAGCACCAGCAAGGTACCGTAGATGTGCAGACAACGGAGACGTGCGTGAAGTGCAAATTAGTATTCGTCACAACTTGAAATTGGACAAGTGCTGTAGATCTGTGCGTTGCTTGGCGCGCAACAGTGAAGCGCCGAACAATGTTATATGAAGGGGTTTTCAAGAGGTATCCGGAGGCCCAGAGCACTGCGGAAGAGTGCTACGCTGTGGATGCATATCGCTACACGGCCACCAATGGACTCGTGCAGCGGCAACTGACAGAGCGCGCGCTGCGGCTGGCGCGCGGAAGCAGTAGCGGCGGTGGCATTTCTGCCTGTCAGCCGTCACCCTGGGCGCCTGGATCCTTGGTGCTCGACGTCGGTTGCGGCAGCGGCCTCAGCGGCGCAGCCTTGGAGCGTGACGGGCTCGTTTGGGTAGGGGCGGACCTGTCCCCAGAAATGCTCCAGCTTGCGGCTCCCGGCGCCGTCTGCCTGTCGGACATTGGGCAGGTGTGAGCGCCAGCGAATTGTATTCTGTGCATGCTGAAAGACGATTGCACGCGTCGCACCCATGACGCGCGCCGCGCCGCCGCTCCTGCCGGCGCTGACTGAACCCTGCCGCTGGCGGGGTTGCCTGCCTGCCATCACCACGGCTGATTTGTCACCGACACCCCCTCCTCGCACGACTCGCCTCTGTGGCAGGGGCTGCCGCTCAGGGCGGCGGCGGTGGACGCCGCAGTGTCCGTTTCTGCGGTGCAGTGGCTGCTCCAAGGGCCAGACAGCGCGCGGCGGCTAGCGGCCTTCTTCCGCGCTCTGCACTCTGTCATCCGCCCCGATTCGATTGGGCCTAAATGTGGGGACGAGCAGCAGGCCGGACAAGGGCAGCAGCAGCAGCAGCAACAGCAGCGGCAGCAGCCGCAGCAGCAGCAGCTACAGCAACAACAGCCGGAGCAGGAGCAGAACCTCCAGCACCAAGAGCGCAAGACTCAGGGGCAGCAGCCACAGGGAGAACAGCAGCCAGATCATCATCATCATCAGCAGCAGCCAGATCATCATCATCATCATCATCATCAGCAGCAGCAGCAGCAGCAGCATCGTCCGCCAATCCACGCTGCCCTGCAGGTCTACGTGCCCAGCGCCGACGCGGCCGCCATGCTGGAGGGCGCGGCGCGCACGGCCGGCTTCGACACCGCCCTCGTGGCTGACTGGCCACACCGCACGCCGGCGAGAAAGTACTACCTGCTGCTCTCAAGGCGCGGCGGCGGAGGCAGGGGCGGCGGCAGTGGCGGCGGCGGCGGCGGCAGCGATGGCGGCGGCGGCAGTGGCGGCAGTGGCGGCAGTGTCAGCAGCGGCCACAGGCGCGGCAGAGGGGGGGCTGAAGTGGGAGTCGACCTCGTCACGGATTGCGCCTGCCCGCTGGCGTTTTATGTGGGCGGCACCTGCAGCGCCAACTGGCTGGGGCCCGCCGCACGCGCCCGCGCTGGCGTGGGCGGGCGCGCCGCGCGGCCGCCGCGGCGGACCGGTGGGCAGCGCGTCGGCGGCGTCGGGGAGGGCCGGGCCGAGGGCGAGGGGGATGGCAATGGCGCTGACGAGGACGCTGACGAGGACGCTGAGGTGTGCAGGTACGTGTCCGACCACCATGGCCGGTACATGCGCAAGCTCCTGCGCCTCACATGGGGCGGCGCGGCGGCGCGGGGCCTGCTGGACGCCTGCTTGTTTGCGGAGGGCGCCGTCGCCGGCGCCGCCATGGGCGGAGGGCGCTGCTCAGTGTGCGGCGCGGCGGCCGCGCCGGCCGTCGACGGCAGGGACGGCGACGGCGGCGGCGCGGCGGGCGGCGACGGGCCTCCCGCGCCCGGGTGCCGCTGCCCCCACTTCAAGCTGCTTGTCAGCCTGGAGAGCCCGGGAGCCAGCGCCTGCGGCGAGGAGCTGCTGCTGCAGGTGGCGGGCCGCGCCGACAGGCTGGCATGCCTGGGGATTGAACCCGGGCTGCAGGCCGCAGATTTTGAGCTGCCGCCGAGCACAGCTGAGTCGCTTGACGTCAGCGGCGGCGGCGCCGCGCCCAGTGGTGGTGCACCCACCGGCGGAGGTAGCGCTCGACAAGAGGCGGCCGCTAGCAGCCGCGCGGCCCGCGCGGCGGCGGCCGCGGCGGCGGAGGCGGCAGCTGCCGCGGGCAAGCGGGCCGGGCTCGCCCTCTGCGCGGCGCTGGGCAACGCGCTGCCGGCGGCCGTCGGCGCCGCGCCGCGGCTGCTGCAGTGCGAGCTGCTGACAGGGGAGGGCCTGCGGCGGCAGCTGCGAGACCAACGGCGGCGCTGCGAGAAGCAGCCGGCGAAGCGGCCGCGCGACGGGGGGCGCTGCCGGGGGGAGCGCGCCGCGCCCGGGCTCGAGCCGCTGCTGCCGCCGCAACCGTTGCGCCCGGCGGCCGGCGGCGGCGCCGCGGCGCAGGCCGGCGCGGCCGCCAACACTGTTGTCGACGGCGGCCCGCGCAGCAGCGACGGCGGCGGCGGTGGCGGGGGCAGCGGCCTGTCCGTCTGGGCGGTGGCCTCTGACGATTTTTTGCCACACGCGGTCATGCTGGCGGAGGGCCTGCCCGTGGCTCCAGCCGGCGGCGCCGCCGCCCTGGTCCTGCTAGGGGACCTCCTGGCCGCAGCCCGTGCCGTGGGCGCCGGCACGCACGGCCTACTCCTGCTGTTGGGGCCGGCGTCGTGCACAGCCGCGGCGGCGTGCTACCCGCGGGCGAGGGGGGCGGAGGCGGCGGGGGTCGCGCCCGGGCTCGTGGCCGAGGCAGCGGGGCGGTTGCGGTCGCGCCTGTTTGGGCTTGACGGCTGATCCTGGTACCAATCAACCAAACCAACCATGCATCACGCATGATTCTTACTGACAGATTTTCTGAGAATCCACTGCAATATCTTGAGGAGCACTCAGCTCTGAGGGTGATTTTGGTCTGGCTTACAAAACCTCCATCTGCACGTTATTCACCTGCCAGATTTCGCTGCTTGATTAGGAGAACGTGTTGCAGCTGCAGCGCGCCCGATTCAGAGCCGCAGCCACCAGACGAGGCCGCTTCTGGGGCGACGTGTTACCAGCACACGAGACGCTGCTTGGGTGACAGGGTTTTGTGTGCATCGCAACCATGGCGTATGCTGGTGCACGGCGCCTGAAACACAGCAAAGCCAGCCACAGGGTAGAACGAGAGCACTGCGCTCGCGGAGGCTGGAACGACGGTAAGTGGGCGCAGCTCATAGCACAAACGGGCCGAAGCAAGGCGCGGCGCACGAGCGACCCGCCTGCTGCGCCACACCGGCGATGGCGGCACGAATCGGCACACAGGCTCACGGGCACGTTGGCCTCAATCGAAACAACCACGCAACAACTCGACAGCAAAAGCGAGCTGGGCACTCCTCCAAAAGCCCAAACCAGCGGCCGGCAGTGCTGCGTGCGAAGGTGTCAGACTACTGCTAGGGGAGAGGGTCACTCCAGACAGTGATGCGCCGGGATGCGGGCGCCACGAGTTGCTGGTGTGCGGAAGCTGCACTGATGGGAGGCAACCAAGTGGGAGATGTCTGTGCAGTGTTCACCTTGGATGCACAGGGTGCGGCTGCTGTCCTCATCGCTGCCGCTGCCTGCCTAACGCTGTGCCCTGCGCTCATCCTGCTTGCCGGCAGCGGCAGCCACAGCCCCGCCGCGCGCCGCCTCGCGCGCGCCGCCGCCGCCGCCGCCCCCGCCGCCCTCGTCGCCGCTGCTGTCGCTCCCCGCGCTGCTCTCCGCCGCCGCATTGCCGCTGCCGGACCCCGCAGCCCTCGCGCCGCCGCCGCCGCACCCAGTCC